AATCACATTGCCATCGATGATATTCTCTGTTATTAATTGCTCAACAAAATCAGTTGTAAATTCTTGCCCAGAAACGGTTGATACTAAAGTTAATATACTTAAGTTTTTACTAATTTTTTCTAGTAGTGCGAGCTCTAGTATTATGCGAAAATAGTTCAACAGGTTATGATGATCAATTAAGTAATATAGCATTTGATATAATAGATTTTGATCACAACGGTACAATCTCAATTGATGAAATACACGAAATAATTCATAATTCAATGCCTGATATTGGTCCACATGAATTAATGTCATTGTGGGATACTGATAGAAATGGACGATTAGATCGTGAAGAATTTAAACGTTTTATTACAAGTGGTACACTCAGATATGTTTGGTTCACGGCAATTGAAAAACATCTTTATTTTGCTTTATTTTAATAATAAATCTTATGACTTTCCTAATTTGACAGTATAATATCTGACATTTTCATAAAATCCAAAACGCAATGATCTTCGTACTGACTATATTAATTTTGCGATGTAAAGAATCCTGTCTAACTTTTATCTTTTCAGCAAGGATATAAAGTTTTTTCATCTATTTCACTTATGTCCCTACACTGAGAAAACGTATCTAAAATGGCACCGCACTACACTATTCTCTTAATTTTAAAAAGGTAGAAAAATAAATGATTATGAAGATCAGATGAAGAACAATCTGTTTTTGTTTTGTTTAATGCATTTTGTCTCATTTTGCTTTTGTTTTAATCAGGCGTTTTTTACTGTTTTTGTTTATTCAAATATTGATGAAATCTACTGTTAACTCAGAAGTTTCTTTGTTACCGATTATCTAAAGTGTAGGTAAACATTCCAGATTACCTGAGCGCTTACCTTGTAGAATTCTTTAAGTTATTCCATTGACTGTAAGTCTATGGTCATATAAAATAAAGTGTTTGTCTGTACAGAGGTGTGACAAATTTTACCTGCAAGTGTTGTACCTGCTTCTGTAGGGAAGTTGTCGCTCCTAAGCTTCCACAGTAACTTATAGTTTCAAAATATGCAGAACAGACATTGACATTTATACTCCACATTCACGCAAGTCCGAACATTCATCTGTATCCTTCGGGCGTGGCAGAATATTTCTGAAGGCACTCGTATCGGGTGACCTTGTTGTCTGGTAATCTCGGAAGTGAATGGAACGTGGGTTTTCTATCATTCTGAATTTCGTACCAATGTTTTTATCCCTCTCTACTTGATTATTTTAGACTGAGCTGTCTACTTTCATGTGTGATCACTTGCTGCTTTCTGCTTCTTCTAACAAAAAAGTCTTGGTTTTTCCTAATAGTTCCATCTTGCGGCCCGTCTGCAATAACTGGGCAAAGCTTCACGCTTTCAAGCTCAAACTTTTAGTTTAAGCTAGTTGGATTGTAATCACTTGAAGCGCCATCGAAATCAGATGTGAAAGAAATAAGGTTTTCCGTGAGAGGAGAGAACCTCAAAATATCTTTATTTTGCACAGTCAGACTTCTTTTATTAATTTTTATGAATAGAAACCTAAAAACATATGGGCATACTTTTACGTTTCTTTTGTATTTGCCTTACATACAAATTACATTCTTTTATGTACTCAGGCATTTTGATAAGATGCAATAAAAAAAATACATTGGAATTTCGCTTAGTTTTTTCCAACTGACTATATGCTTGCCTACATATTGTATGTTTGAATCTCAAGTTGATACTTGTAATAAAAAGTAACAACACATTTTCTTTATGTTTGTTGAAAAAACCCAACTGCACTCTTACGTTTTGATAATAAGAATAAATGAATAAGTAAGAAGGATCCACTGATGAAATGTCAATCCTTGGATGTATTCCATCTGGTATGCTAAATGGAAGTGGATCAGTATCTTCTACACTCATAAGATTCTCGAACACATATTGTATGTTTAAATTTCAAGTTGATACTTGTATTAAAAAGCAACAACGCGTTTTCTTTATGTTTGACATGAAAATTTAAACTGGATGATGAGATTTAGGAGTCATTACGTGGGAGTCCGATGCATGAAACATATGTATTCGGTCATGTCAGATCTGATGGAAATGTTTGTTTTTGGAATTTTTCAAAAACTGTTAGTTTCGAAAACTAGGATTTCCGGGTAATATATTAAAAAATTCACAAATCATTCCAGAAACATTAGAAAGGATTGAGAAGTTCGACAAATACTGCAGGTAACAAAATTATTGACCCACCTCTACAGTAAGATATTTTTAGTATTTTTCCAATAAAGTATGAAAGAAAGAAAATAAAAGCCTGAAAATAATACATACAGACTAGGAATAATAGATTACATTATGGTGCGTGTTTGAGCTCTTTAGTTCATTTGGTTTCGGGCACAGCCGAGACATATAAACAAAGTGATGCTAAAGAGATGTGCTAATACTTCCGTTATCTACTGTTCTATACCCTGTTTGTATGACGATGCATGGATGAACCAACCGACCAACGATAGAACAATGAAAGTTTTACATACTCGCAATAGCGCAAGGAACATTCAGAGCAATGTATATTTTTGAACAGCGCTCAGTATTCTCCTCCAGGATATCAAGTCATATTGAATGTATATTTTGTACCCATTGAAATTCATTATATTCACTACAATCATACTGGTCAATTTTAATTGTTGAAGAATATGCGTTACACCGTTTAGCATCATAACATATATGTGCTGGTAATACATTGGTTGACCAATCTGTTTTAGTTGTGGTTGTATAATATAAACGCACAAAATTGTAAAATACAAGTTGTGATGGAAATTGAAATGATGTTGTACAATAGAGATGAATTAATTTGTTACACTGATGTGTTGTACATATATTAAAACAATTTATAAAAGGTACGTCATTTATTTTGAAAGCACATATTAAATATGTCCAGCATGTATAATTTATTCTCGATTATAAATAATATTCAAACATATCTTTTGCACGAACAATACGACGACCGTTCGCACATTTCATGTCCTGGAATCCAGGATAACTTACATGTTGACAAGTTCCAGTTTCACCACGTGAAAAGTGCATTGAACTACATACATGCCCTTCACAACGTACTACCATTATTCGGCTTGGATATCTGATTGTAATGTAATAGCTGGTTAGTATAAAGGAGTTTTTCCCGACTCCCTCTCTCCTAGTCCCGGGTAAATGACCCTCCTCACCCTCAAAAATGACATAGCCCGGGTAAGACTCAGATCCAAGACCTTTATTAATTCTTAATAATCACCTGGTCAAAGCAGTCACATTACTCGTTTCTCGTTAGAAACACACTAATGGACATTTCAGACTGGTAATGCATATAAATTTGAGTTATGTCCGTAGTATACGTTTATAATCCAAAAAAATTTTCTTTTTCCACCTTGTACACGCTCAAAAAGAAGTGTCGCACCAGCTGAAAAGAAGCACTTTAAATGTCCTGTCCTGGACACTTCAAGCACAAAAATGTATCCCGTAGAAAAAATTGCCCCACTACGGGATACTTTAACTGTCCCATCAGGCATGGGCGAGCCCGGGGAGGTACCAAGTCCGAGTCCATGCAAGTTCAAACCGAGTCCGAGTCCTTAAAAGTTCCAGCCGAGTCGGAGTCCGAGTCCGGTAATCTTTTAGATTCTTTTGATGAAGGTGAGTTATATTTTAATTCGCTGAGCCATGGATAGATATTTGTTTTTTCGAAAATAAGGGTACGTTCCATGTTCGTCTCCCGAACAAAATTTTCAATTTCATGTGAAACAGTAGGAGTTGTTATTTCGCTTTTCATTTTTCTCTACTCATTTGTGTTAAAAGTTGAATAGATCGGACTCGAAATACAAAAACTCAAGTCCGAGTCCGAGTACTTCAAAAAAATCTTCAGTCTGAGTCCGAGTCCGCCAAAAAATCTTCCAGTCCGGACTCGGACTCGCCCATGCCTGTGTCCCATTCATTGGTCAAGGAGCACTTGTTTTTTCATAGTGTATAAGCATAGAGTAACACATTCTCGGATGAATACATGTGATAGATGGACTGGAATAACTTTGTTGTCCGTCCTGTCTCGTCTCATCCAGTGTGGTTGTCGCTTTTGTTTCAAAAGTATATGAAATGAACAAGTTACAAATATGTCAAAGTCAGATTTACTTAATATTAGGGTTCCATGCCACTTAGAAATCCTTCTATAAAAACTCTTAGAATCTAAGTGCAGATCGAGGATTTGAACGGCTAATAAACGTTCGATAGTTTTAGCGGGTTTCCGGACTATCTGCAATCAGAGTTATGCGTTATCAGTTATTTTTTGATCCCAAAAGATTGGTGATCCAGATCGAAAAGAATTTGCTCTTGTAAACTAGAGTAGTCACTATTGCACGTTGATTTTATTGTTGGGTTTCATATGAAATTCAAAGAATAAACCTGATTAATGGTTACTTCATGTAACAAAGACACAAAAATGATAAGATCAAAGAAATCGTGGAGTGTTTAGTATAGCAAAATTTGACGTCTCTTACTAGACTCTGCATGTTTTTATACTCGGAATAGTTATCTGACTAAAAGTGTGGCCAATACCATTCTAATGAGCAAACAAGACTGAATAAAGTGTATTATTTAAGTTTTCATAACACTTTAGAAGTTAAAAAATTGAAATTAATGAGTTGTTTAGATTTTGAAAAACTGAAAATTCCTTTTCAGTTTTTGATAAAAGTCTTTAGAAGCATACCACTATAAAATAAAACTAGACACATTTTGTACATGTGAGAGATCACACCTCTCACTGATGATCTTTTTCTTTCTTTTTATCTTTCATTGTATACGCATACAGTGACACATTGTTTGTCTATTTCTTTCCTTCTGACTGTACAGTCAGCCTATTCATCATCCATCGATTATAGACTTTTCTCTAATATATATATATATTTACATGTTTTCAATTCATTCAATAAGTCACATTTTGTTTCGTCGATTATTGTATTGGTTGGGCTTTTTTATGTTTTTTCATTCACTGGTACAATAAAGTTAGAGGAGAGTCAGATTGCAGAGTAGAACATTCTCTAACAATTGGTGACCCTGACTCAAAGCCGTAGTTTATTGATTTATTAAATAACAACAACTGAAATGTTTCAGATGATATTAATTTTTAGCTGAAGACTCGACTTTTACTAAAGCTGATTCACACAAATTAAATTAAAAGAAAATCGGTAGACGCGACTTCTCCGCGAAGTTGATTCACAAGTCAGTAGTAATAAGCCAAAGAAACGCAAAAGCCGGCACCTGGTATGATGATAATGCAAAATCATTTAACAACAAATGGGATTACTTCGAATCAGCATTTCGTAACCGATTTTCATCTTCTATTCATGCTCAGACAAAATTCGAACAAATGATTCAACGACAACAACAACCATATGGAGTACATCCTCAAATCGCAAAATACATTCTTCATTACAAAATTTCGGATTGAATCCAAAACACACGTGTTTTGTTTAGTTTTTCACGGGCTTTCCAATAATGTGCTTTATGTTAAGGCTCGATTTGATTTTCAGAATTGAATCACTTACACCAATTAGTGCTAATTAGTTGTTAGCTAATTACAGTTTAATTATAGATCAAAAATATTTTTGCCAAAAGATGTGCTGTGAAATTCTGCATCGACTAGTGCCACTTTAACAGTTTTTCGGTCAAATCTCTTGGTTGGGAGACACGAAATAGTGAAAATGCCTTAAAATTATGCCTGTTGGAGAAAAATGGTTTCCGCTCCAGCTTCGCCAAATTACGCCCAGTTTCAAAGATCTTTTTTTCATATATAGCATGAGACATTGCTTTTCTTCTGGCGAAAGGACGAAGTCTGTAGCTTTTAAGCCGGCAGAGATATTTAACAAACAATAAATTTCCTAAAATTATATTCGCCACTTTAGGATGATCTGTGTTAATACTTTGAATTTATAACATAAGTTGTTATTTTTATAAATTATTCTTAGTTTCTTTTTACACTCTTTGACGGGGACGGCGAGATCGCAGCATGAGAGCGACTCGCGAGACATTAATTTGAGCCCTCTTTCCACTTCCCACTCGTCCAGACAAACACTTACTTCTCCCGTTAAATGTTCTTGAGACTCGTTTACTAATCGATTATGTCTTCTTGAGATGTCGCTGCCGAAATATCAAAACAAATCATACAGAGCTGTTCAACCTCTCATTTTTAGACAATTGTTTCCTACACATTTCTTACTCTGTCATAAAATTTTTAACGAAGTAATTTACGAAACCCCCGGTTTTGAAAAGACATAAAATCCTTAGTCAATTACTCAGTGCGTGCCCTACTCACTCACCGAAACTGCTGTACACTTCCCCTGTGAATTAATTACTTGTTCTTATGTATCTGTACTTTGAAAAAGTCAAAATATGCAGATATAAACTGGAAAACGTTCAAGTATAGAAATAGCCTGCACTCCATGTAACGATAATAAGAAGTGTCGTGTATATAACGAACGCTTTTTTGTATTTCTGTTTTAGAATAAGAATAATGAGAACATATCTTCAATCAGGCACATGTCTGCCGCATAGTTTAGACAGAATGTGGATTACATAAACTATATACATCGGTCTATTATACGATGAAAAGAAATGGCAAAAATGTCGACCATTATTTGTGCATATTCCTGATGCACCAGCGATCTAATTGTTTTCTGTTAGAAACAGCAAAGTCTGAACTTCAAAGAACATAGACACAAAATTGTGTGTAATTTAGTTTGAGTGAGAAGAAATCTAAATACGAAACCCCGTCCAAAAAACTCTTGCAACCTTCACTCTCTTGAAATGTATCGCTCTCATCAAAAGTATTTTTTCATAGCAGAGTAAGTTTGAAATTATGTGATTATAGAAACCCGAAGCGTTTTTATTGCTGTTTTGAATCGGATATGATAAATTATCTTTCGATCTACTTTTCAAGTAGAAATTCGTGCGTTTTTCATTTTCTTTAGAAAAAGAGTTGATTAGACTGTATTAATAATTTTCATGAAGTTCAAACTTTGCTCTTTCTAACAGAAAACAATCAGATCGCCAGTGCATCAGGAACATGCACAAATAATGCTCGGCATTTTTTCCATTTCTTTTGCATCGTATAATAGATATAAATGTTCACGTGGAAAGAACTGAAAATAAATTCTCTTGCGTTCTTGTAGTTAGACAGAAAAATACAGCCTATCCACCCCTGATCAGTGTCTGTTTCTTGGACAATGTCAAGACTAGTCCAAGATCTACTGTTTATCTGATCAGTAGAAAAAACAGATTTTCTTGACCTATCTTGCCATTTTCTTGGGGGCTGATCAGGACAAGAAAATAAACTTATTTAGTCAGACAGACTTTATAAATAAGTCTGTACCCTGTTTTCAAGGCCAGACAAACTGGACATTCTCTAGGGCACTTTATATTTTATCATACCTGAATTTATTTTATTCACTACATCTAAGAGCAAATAAGTAGTACTATCATTAGCTATGAATTCTGCTTGACAATCGGAAAGAAGTTTATTCTTAATAAATTGCTTGTATCATTGTCTGTGAACTAGACGCTCTGATACTTTATATTAAACTTTATATTAAACTTTAAGTAAAGTAATAGGTCGGTAATTAGATTACCACTTTTATACATTGGATTTATAACTACATTTTTCCATATTTCAAGAAAAACTGAAGTTTCAAAAGACTCATAAATTAATTTACAAACAGGTTTAACCCTTTCCCACGAATCGCGTAGTAGAACATACCGCGCTCGCAGTTTGTCTCCCGCGTATCGCGTAGTAAAACGTACCTGATTTTCTGTAATTTTTTTTTCTGTGATTTTTTCTGTAATCATAAAATATCGACAACCGACAGCAAAAATAGAAGGCAGAGTGAAGTCATATGTGCTCTGTATGACCCAGAAGAGAAGGACAGCATCGGGCAGAGCCATCCAATCAGCATTTGGATGCCCGCAATGTGAGTTACCTTTATATCGCATTGGTTGCTTTCTCCAGTCATTTTTGAAGCGATTATTGGCTTTGTCCACGTACAGACTTCAATAAAACACCTCAAAATAAAAATTTGTCTTTTCCTCCCAGCAGAAATTAAATTTTTTTTCCTTTATTTTTGGTCGCACAGCGATAATTTTTTTTTCTTGCATCCCTGGAAAAGATTTTTTATCCTCCTCTCAATCTTGGCACCCCATTACGGCCCTGGCTTCTTCATACAGTTGAAAACGATAGTTAGAATTTTTGCTTTTACGATAGAATTGATATTTTTTTTTATACAATATTCTTAACTTATCGTTGAACCAAACTCTATCGCGTGGTTCAATACAAATTTTCTTATTAGGTACATAGTACTGTATATGCTCTAATAATATCTGCTCGAAGACTGTAACAGTTTCATTCAGATTATAGTACTTCTTTAACAGCTGATGTATAGGTATTTCATTGAAACGCTCATTCACTTTCTTTCAGTCAACTACATTATAATCATAAACTGTACGTTCTATTTTCGCTTTTGAAGATAGGATTTGAATTTTAAACTCAATAAAGCTATGATCACTTCGGCCCAACGGTAGTCGTACAGCTATATCAGTTACAAAAGAAGAACTCTCTACGATAATCACATCTAAACAAGTACCAGAAATATCTCTTGCCATTCCTCGAACTAATTGAAACAGATTTTCTTCCTCAATGTCGGTAAGTTTCCTTAACTTAAAAGAATGAAAAGACAAAAAAGCATGCATGAGTCGGTACTAGTTATGTGGATAAATTTTGTTTAAGAGAGACAAAGTCTGAGATAGACAGTTTTTATCTACCTTTCAAATTACACAATTCCTAATCATTCTTCTTTGTAAACTTTGTCTTCCTCTAAAATCTCTATTTAAAACATGTTGTGGATTTTATTTTGTGTCTATAATATATATGTCGCACCACTCTTCTTTATACTATCTAAAAATATGTTAGTTAATTTTCCGTCAAAGATTATGGATTATAGGAAAATGAAAATGAAAAGAAAATGTATGTTTTCAGGAGAATCAAATTGGACAAATCATCTAAAAACTGTCTGAATAATTGCTTAGTTTTCATCTATGGATCATTCTCTCTTCGACTATACCAACGGCACCGTTTTACAAGCTGTTGTTGCAACCCTACTACACTAAAGTTGATCGAACTACCTGAATAATAAATGAAAGAGACATTTTTTTATAAAAAAATAAAAAAATTCTGCTCAAGTCTTGGCTATCGAACAGCGAAAACCGCAGGTCTTTATCTTATTTCTGCCAAAAATTTATTCAAAAATGCCCACCAGCACTGTATTTTGGAATGAATAGTAGTTTGAAATTTCAAGAAAATCCCCTCTTGCTAACCATACCTTCACTGCTACATACTTATTAATGTTTGTTTGGCGTTACAAAAAGTAACATCAAGGTTGAAATATTTAATAACACTTTAAATATCTTTGCGATAGTCTAACAAATAAAGCAAATACAATAACAATGAATAATACATTTAATAACATCGTTAAACCTCTCACACTATCGCTACGTCTATCGCATAACTATGCTTTTCAACTAACCTATAACTCTTTCAAGCTTTCCCCTTTTTCCAGCTTTTCGAAATTACTAAGTGATTTATCCAATACGATGCTCAAATTGAAACTCTCGCCATCCTGCTGCCTTCTATTACAGAGTTTTATCACAAGAGATCATCAATTTTCTTGCTTGTGCTAGAAAACGGTTCAACAAAAGACAGCAGCGAATGTTCAAGAGAGAAGCAAAAAAATTGGCGTAAGCAAACTTTGCTTACGGCTACAAACTTTACTTACGTCTCTTTGCTAAGCAAAAGCAAAGAGACGTAAGTAAAAAGAAAACTTAGAGAAAAAACATGTTGTTTAATTGTTTCTAATTTTTATTAACATGTTGTTCATTTGTTGTCTTTTCTTGTTCTTCTGTTGTTCTTGTTTTGTTGTTAATTTGTTTCTACCTAGTTTATACTGTAGACACAGTTTTCGTGAATTATTTACTCAGAAATAAAAACATAAGTCTCTGTTATTATCAACAAACTCGTAATCAATCACATTGCCATCGATGATATTCTCTGTTATTAATTGCTCAACAAAATCAGTTGTAAATTCTTGCCCAGAAACGGTTGATACTAAAGTTAATATACTTAAGTTTTTACTAATTTTTTCTAGTAGTAATCGTAGATCATCTGTTGATGGTAGAGTACTATCGAAAATCAATTTTAAATTTTTTATAGATTTTTGTAAACATAAACAGATGTTTTCGTCAGTAAGATTATCTGTGATATTCAACAGAACTTTATGAAATATTTCCAATGTTGACAAATTTGGCGTGAACTTAATTAATTCTAACATCATTCGAGGATAAATTTCACCTAGAAAAAAGAAGACAAAGATTATGTTAAGTTCTCTAATTTTGTGAAACTCCACGCCTCGAACATAAATTTAGACCATCAACATCAGTAAAAGTTTCCAGAACAGAAAATACAAGTGAAAGAAAGGCTAATCCTCAAAGAAACGCTGATTAGTGTTTTGTGTAGAAACTGTTTGACTCTCTTATGGTATACCTTTTCTACTACAACTAGTTTCGGTGGAAAGAAGTTTCCACTTTAGATAGACACTTCATGGTATAAGGTAGAATGAAACTATTTTCCTCCTTCTCAACTGCTCATAAATTCTAACAGGTAAAACAGAGGAGTTCACGCTTTTTGCATCGAGTTTCCACTCCATATTGTGCAAGTCTATGCTAAAAATGTGAAACTTAATTACCGTCTTGAAAACGTAGGGTTTTTAAATTTGCAACACTAATTGTATTTAAAATATCGTCGATGAGTGCTGGAGAAACATTCACACTACTAGATAATTTAGATGAGAAACTTAATGTATGAACGTTTGGGTAACAACGCTTTGTCAGTGCTGTTGGATTATCATAAAGTGCTAGATCTAGAATTTTGATGTTCTGAAAAGTGTGATTCAATATTTGTGGATCGTCCGTTGTTGCTAATGTCTAAATATCATATCCTGTCGTTACAAAATTTTCGAATGTTGTTCCTACTGGATACATCGACAATTCCTCTTTATCATAATCAAAAACATAGTACCATTTATGTTCTAAATAATATTTTGTTCTAAATGATTGTGCTATTTCAGTGAGATTTGGTGGTGTTTTAACATCATTAACAGTACAAGACAACTGAAACTGTTTTAAGATTGGAAAATAAAATGATAAAAATTGTTCCCATTTCTTCCCATCCATATATTCAAGACGGTTCATTGTGAAAAGTTTTAAATACTCGAGCTTTGGTGATAATTTATTTATTAATAACAATTGAATATCGTCAAACGGAACACGATAAATTTCTGCTTGAAATGAAATCAGATTTTCGGACAACGGTGACAAAGCCAGATCAGTATCTTCAAAATCACCACAGAGATAAACTGTTAGGCTCTTAATTTTTGGTACCCGTTTTAATAGCGAGGTTAATTGATATATATCACACCATTGACAAAATGATAGATATTCAATAGCGGATGCTCTTGCGTTTGTTGTTACGTTATCTCGAAAACGAATCGGATCCGCAAGAGATAGTTTACATGATTTTAACGATCTACTCATTTCACTATCTGTAAATATTGTTTCCATCAATTTGTCTGTCAGATCTGTACTTATACAATCCGGTGATGACGTTAAACTTAAATATGTCAGATGTTTCAGTTTCAGTAATATGGATCTAACATAACCTATATTTTTAAGTGTTAAGTCATCGATTGTTAACGATTGTAGATTTATTGCCACTAATGAATCAGAAATTTTGATTCTGTCACTGATATCTTGTAATTTTGCTGTTATCATCTGATTGCTGTTGCTAGTTGATATTATGACCTGTTGATGGTAATTGTGCACGGCTTTTGTAACATTTATTAAATCAATATGCAAATGTGTGGCGTGCAATAGACTATTAAGCCGAACATTTAATGAGTAAAATGATTTGAAAACATCATAGGCATTGAAATATCCAAATATTTGAAGAATAAGTTCGTTTGGAAGTGCTTCTAAATCAAGCTGTTCCAGTTGATGACGACGACTATTTTGTTCTTCCAGTTTTACAACAAGCTGATCGCTCATGGCAATGCTCTTTTCTTTGTTGCTTTAATGGAGATGCTTTGAGTTGATCAACTCTTGAATGTAAACAAATGAAATCTAGAATGGAACATGTCGATTTTGCATAGAAAAACGGAGAAGAACAGAACTACTATCCAGAAACGCGACCTCATAAAATTTACTTGGCTTTACCGACAAACAAAAACATAGTTGCGCTTCACATCACCATCAGTAATAGAAACGACTAACCAAGAAATAAGTTTTCATTCTGGTTTGACATAAGTCACTTTTCAAAATAATCAAGTGTGTTTTCAGTTTTCATCAAACTCTCATGAAAAAAGATAATGCAACTGTCGAAAATAAAACTACACGACGAATCAAAAGTATACGATCGTCTTATATATTTGTATAACAATGTTCTTTTTTTAATGAATAATCTTATTGAGGCACGAATAGTTTGTAAACGTTGATAGATGTAGGTCATACCGATTCCTATTGTTCATTACTTGCATCACACCACCTCTCTGGATACGTTTCTATCACTGATTTCTGACCTTCGGGCAAAGACATTTCTTATCTCGTTCCGGATCCAAACTAATACTCTGAAAGAAAGCTTCAGAAATATCGTCAACTTCGTACATATCGACACGGCGCACATAAAAGTGAAACGAAATACAGCAAACGAGTGATGTGCTCACTCAGTGGTTTTCTAACTTAATCTTTAGGATCCGCTTCCCCTAGCTTTTCTTTAAAAAAGAAGGCAAGGATTATGTTAGGACAGACTCCATGAGACAATCGAGAATACTGTAAAAAGACGATAGAACCTTCAAAAAATAAAATTCCTCTTAAATACCATTTGCGGATTTTCCATCCAAAGTTACCAACATACACTAGTTTTAAGCTTTCTGAAACTTATCCTCGTTGAGAAAAGAATCTTTTAAAAAAAATGTCAACAAATCTTGTTTAAAAACTGAAGGACTCTAATTTTTGTTGAGGGACATTACGATATATTCGATTTTCTTAAGTTATATATAATTCGAACAAGCGTAAAAACTGAACAAAACCTGGTGTTGCTTAGGTTTTAAAACGATTTTTCATTGCTGAGAAAAAGTAAACAAAGTGCCATTAGAAAAAAGGGCCAATGTTTTCAATAAAACAACTATTGTGACAGTGATTCCATTGGTCTGCAGCAATTTTTAGCAATTCTGCTAGAGAATTCACTACAATCTGCGGAACAGGCCGGAAAATGCTCAACAATGAACACCATTACAATTAGAAGAAGTTAGAAATATGATTTTCATGGGTTGGATATGAATAATCAGATATAGAAAATAAGTAGTAAATAATTGTACAACAGCTGAAAGAAATGCTTGAGCGTCAGCTGTTAATGAATGCCCAGCGGGTGGTTGCGTTAAAAGATACATCAGACATGCAAATCTCATGAATTCTATTCAGTCCGGAAGACACTGTGTCTTCCGGAAAATTTTCTGCAAACGTATGAAAACCCCTTAATTAGTATTCAGGTATAAAAAAGCTGTAGAGATTTTGCTATGTATTCGGTTCTTTCTTAGTAATGTAAGTAATGTAATAAATCACTCTCACTAAGGCGCTTCTCGATAATCAACTTCGAGATCAAATTCAAGAAAATAGGAAACGCTTGAGACCTATCGTTGAAACTGTTCTATTATGTGGAAAACAAAATATAGCAATGAGAGGGCATCGCGACGACGGTGCTTTAAATATGCCAATAGAAGAGAGTGTTTCGCTGACAAATGAAGGGAATTTTAGAGCTCTCCTTCAATATCGTATCAGTGGAGGAGATTCAGTTTTACAAAAACATCTGGAAACAGCGGCGAAAAATGCAACGTATATTAGTAAAACGACACAAAATATCATTATTTCGTGTATTAATGATTTAATTTCTCAACAGATTATTGCTCAAGTGAAAGAAGCGCGATTTTTTACAGTAATGTTAGATGAGACTGGTAGGAACACACATAGTTCAGATTCACTATTCTTCCAAATCTTTTCTATCTTTATCCTTGAATAGCTGACATCGCAAACGTTGAACGAGCAAGCATATGTGTTCGATATGTCTACAACAATATGATTAATGAACGTTTTTTAAAATTTGCTGCGGTTATCGATCCAACGGGATTAGGTTTAGCGACATTATTATTACAAGAAATTAGTTCATTAGGTTAGTTAGTGGAATTAGTGCCTTGTGTACATGTATCCTCTTAATTGTGACGATACATTTAGGTCTCGATATGAATAATTGTGTGGGTCAAGGTTATGATGGTGGTAGTGCAATGAGTGGTAGGGAGTTAGAATAGAAAATTAAACGTCAAATGCACGTTTTTTCTTTAAAACGTAGGATTACATAAAGGTGTTCAAGCCATTATCGCACAAAAATATCCTCGGGTCCTTTACGTTCATTGCGCGTCACATAGTTTCAATTTTGCCATTTCTGACGGTTGTGATTTGATAGCTGTACAAAATGTACTTGGAAACATTAAAAAAATTTATAATTTTTTTCGCTTGTCAAGCGTTCGTACTCAAATATTAAATAATAACACAACGAAAAGCAAATCGACTAAAAAGAAACTGATTAATATGTGTCCTACTCGCTGGAATGAACGACATGAATCTGTTCAAACATTTTATTCACTATACGAATCAATAGTTGATTCACTCGATGAAGTAACTGCTATTAAACCTTCTGATTCGTTGTCATTAGCTATCAATTATCACTCAGCATTAATTGGATCTGGTTTTATCATCACGTTGCTCACATTAAATAAATTATTATTATTTACCCTTATCATTTCGAGTGAGTGTTTACCCACATATATGCATATAATTGTAGCTGTTTATCTCCCTTCCATACATAGAAAATTTGCAAGATAAGTCAATCGATTTAATGCATTGTAAAGATGCGATTGAAGATATACTATTTATATTGAACAAAATACGAAAAGATCCGGATGTTGAATACGATGACATTTTCGAAGGAGCAATAGAACTAGCTAAATATACTGATTCAACAATTGATATACCTCGCATAACCAAACGACAAGTAGGCGAAGAAACCGCTTCTGTGTCTCCTAATTTTTCGTAGGAGAATAAATGTTCATTTTTCCAGGTTCATAGAAATAATGTGCCAGCTAAAGATGCAAAAGAACACTTCAAATTGAATTATTTTATTCCAATTCTCGATTATTTAATTACATCAATAACAGATCGTTTCTCAGATCATGTCAAACAAGCATTAACAATATCTTCACCAGCGTATTTAAAAACACTCAATGAATTAATACCAGCACTTCAGTTATATCATGATCTATTACCCGACGGTGGTAATATGGTTATTCATCAAGCAGAATTTTCACGATGGAAATTAAAATGCGATAATATGACCGAACGACCACAAACAGCTGTTGACGCGTACAATGCATGTGACGAAAAATTCTTTCCCAACGTCAAAACGTTACTTCAAATCTTCTCCACGTTACCGGTCACAACAGCGTCCGTAGAAAGGACATTCTCTGTTTTACGTCTTATTAAAACGTACCTTAGATCAACTATGAGTGAACAACGTTTAACAGGGCTGGCAAATATGTACATCAATAATAATATCAATATTACGGCTGATTCGGTAATTGACGAATTTTCAAAATCTCGTCGTAAAATTAATTTCATAATTTAACTTTTCTGATGTTGAAATTAAAAGAGAATAGAAGTTGACGTAAATATGAGACTTATTAAAAAACAAGAATCAAATGTGAACATACTACATAATGAAGTAGGAGAAATAACGTAAAAAGTTCACATGAGCATGTGATTAAGAGAATGTCCTAACTTGATTTGCGAAATAACTTCAGAATGTATATTTCTTTAACTTTTGTTTTCGGGTACGAAGTAGCATGCACTCTCACAGAAAAAAAAGTCAATTTGGTACTACCTCGAAACGCTGATTTAAAAACCGCTCGTACTGTTGAAAAATTCTGGATCCGCCCCTGAAGACACATTATTACAGAAGACAGATTTTTGACGAAAGACATAGCACTCCACACAGCACATTGCACACTTTTCAAACTGTAAAAAGCTGGTGAATGAGAAATGATTTCTGTTTCTCTTCAATGTATGTCTGTTAGATACCTTCGGCAAGGTACTAGAGGAGGGTTCGAAGGATGTTAGCATATCAGTACGCAGTGTATTATCAAAAAGCAAGCGCAGCACATTTTATAGAAATTTATGTTTGCGTATTCTGGTGTATTCTCGTGTATGCTTAATGAAAATACACTAGAATACGCAAATATATAAATTTCTGTAAAATGTCCTGGGCTTGCTTTTTGATAATACACTGCGTACTGATATTCTGAGATCTCTGAAAAATTCATGTCTCACTGACCGGTTTTGATATGAATTAGCAGGAGCGATGAGCGTATGTTGAATCAAAAACTTAGCCTGTGCGTAATATGCAATGTTAATTTCTTTGTAATAAAATTTGATCAATACTCTTTCGTACCTGAATTTGTTTTTGAAAAAAAACGCTACAATTATTTTTACTTTACTAGCGCTGCTTGGTTTTTCCTTACGCATACGAAACCATGTGTAAATGAATGTGCACAATTATTTCCTGCTGTTAAAAAACTTGCGTTTTTATGTATTTTTGATATCTACTGTGTAAATAAATACAGAATAGTGTAAATACAGAATAAAGAAGCACGTAAAATAGAATCGTGGAAAAGCTCGAACGCACTTTTCACATGGTATCTATGCAGACAAAAGTTGAGGCAAAAAGAACAGAGCAAAAACAATATTTTTATATTAGCCATGCAGGAGAAAAGGAGATATTTCTTTTCGCATATGCACGACATATATCCTTCTATTTTCTTTTTCTCTTTCGCTATGTAAAGAACGCGCGAAAATCAGTTCAGCGTTGTTTTTATTCATTGTTTTGTTCTTCACTACTTTTTTACACATATGTTGCGGGCAAACTTAAAATTCAGTCAGATTTAAAATTTGCCTTGGCAAAATTAAAATTTTAAACATGACTAGACAGATGTTAAATTTGTCTAGGCAGAATTAAAATTCTGATTTTTACTAGGCAAATTTAAAATTTGCCTGAAACATCTCTAGACCAAATTGAAATTCTAACTCTGACTAAAAATGATCAGGTAAAATTAGAGTTTTGCCACTATTTTCATGAACATGTGTATTGTCTTAAATCTATTGTGATGGCAAGCCTTCTTTGAGAGTTTTGAATTTCTAAAGCGGCCAGTTTTCGAGTTTTCGTTATCGAGAATTTCCCTAAAACACAAATACCTCGATCAAATATCGAGTTAGAAGTCAGCGGTTTTGACCAGAATTCGTCAGATTATTGCTTCAAAAGTATTTTCAATGAAATAGCAGTGAAAATGAGTCAACGTTGCGTCAGTACTGGGTGATTCCTTCGAAGATCTATCAGATTTAAGTATAGGGTGGTATGCGATCGACTTTGGCGCGAATGAGATACCACCACAATATACACTTCGATAACTAAGATCATTCACTCGAAGAAACATGCCAGGACTATGCCTCGATAGCTCAGCGGTCTTGTTAACCATTGTCGTGAGTTCGATTCTCAGTCGAGACATGCTTTTCCGAATGTCTGTTCATCGGACGTTTAGTGGTTAACATTCAGTTTGTATGAAATAATTGAATGAAATAATAAGTACGTCCCCTTTTCATGAACCGCTACCTTCGCCTGGTCATCATGCAGCATCCTCTTCCCCTTCTCGCACATATTAATTACGTGATAATCTCGTAGGATTTTATGACTGGCGTTCGTGTATCACAGACTACGCTAGAAACTAAGGTTTCTCAGAAATGCTATTTTGATATGAGCTAAGAAACCATATATTACTACTTCAGTGTCTAGAGGATTAAACTGGTCTTTTTGGATCCTCAGAAGATCTATTTTAGAAAAATAAATTTTAGTGATGTCACTGTTACTTTTAGTTAACGAGTAATCAAATAGTAACAAAATGAACGAAAAACTACTATATTTCCCGGAAAATGAAATGTTATCGAGTTCTTCACCATGTTTGGTGACTGGAAATATTTAATTTTGAATCACAGCGTTTGGCTGAAATAAATATCACATAGAGAAAGTAAGCGTTCTAAGCAGAAGAGATATCGGGGTATTCCTTCCTATAGCAGGTGTTCCACCACGAATGTACAGTAACATTATAGCTGGTGTTCCTTCTCTGGTCAAAACCGTTGACTTCTAACTCGATATTTGACCGAGGTATTTGTGTTTTAGGGAAATCCTCGATAAGAAAAACTCGAAACGTGGCGAAAACTGGGCCATTTTAGAAATTCAGAACTCTCGGAGAAGGCTTAACTATTACAACAGATTTAAGACAATACACATGTTATCCGAAGTCAACATGAAAAATTGATTAAAGAAATCTGTTTCATGATGCTTTGTGGAAAAAGTTCTTTCATCCAAAGTTTTGCCTTTAGTTCTTTCCGGTAGGTTCTCAAATCACAGAGTACACCTATTAATATCAACATAGTCTAGTGGGATACATTGTATCTTTCCGCGCTGTTCTTCGAGTAGTTATTTTCAGGTGTTTACGGGTACTCATTATTTCTATCTTTGCGATCTCATTCTATGTCATCACAAGTGAGTACATGTGCGCAAATTCGTGAACATGGACGCTGTTTTCATCACTGACGTACACATACTTTTTTTATTGACAACTTTCATTTGTTTTCTCCAGTTAGTACTAGACTGCTTCGCACTTTAGGAATCTTTGCATGGCTTTTTCGTAGTTATTTGTCCTTCATATGCGCATCCTCGTTCTTATATAATTAATACATTATCTTGTGTAATCAACACGCCTGAAAAATTTTTGCAATTTATGTGCATCATACTACATGACTTTCTTTTCCTACGTGTACAATACTGATTTTTCTCGCAGAGCATATATGTGACTATTGATTGCTGTTAAATATATATATACACCTTTTCATTTAAGAACCATTGAAGAAAACAAACTACTTATATTTTACTCTAACCTCAATGCATATTATTAAATCGTTATTAATAGTTGGCTTCATAGTAACAATACTGAGTTCTGCATCTTACGGACAGGATTCGAATGATCATCACGATGAAAAATCAAAATGTAATATGAATAAGCATTAGAATGGGAGATGATAGACTTTCTGTATCGTTTCTTGTAGATCAAGAACCGGGATGTACTCAAGAGGAATGTGAAAAGATGGGTAGTGGATGGGTAAGTATATGTATATAACGTTATAATTTGAAGAGTAGACTTTATCTATGTTTTAGAATTGTTTACATGACAAATATGGTGACTTAAGGTGTGTGAGAGTCGGGATATGAATATTTATCGAAATTCAACGACAACAACTGTATCATAATAATAGTTTTTTATTGTCTAATATCTTGAGCCTGATTTTGACAGCTTTTAAAACTTTTTAATATTTTAAAAAGACAGCGCTTGTTTTCACTTATACGTGATGAAAGGTCGCAGTCAGGTCACGTCGTATTATGTATACTAGCTAAACTTCTTTATTGTTTTATTTGCTAATAAAATATATTGAATAATCAAACAACGTGGAAATTCAACCGTTAGATGTATGTATTTCTTTCATTGAAAGCCAGTCATCTATATAAGGAACGATCAAGCTAGTCTTTCTCTCTACGGTTATTCCGTCATCGTCTGGCATGCTAGCTCGCGGGGTTACCATAAAAATATAAAATAGCAAAATGATTTTGGTATGAAAAATTTTAAAATATTAGGGTTAAAATTAAGCAAAATTATTAGAAAAGAGATTGAATTTTTAGCAAAAGTCTTTTTGCTGTCGAATTTCTCTACCTGAATGTTACCTTTCCTAAAATATTTCTGGATCTGAATTAAGGATACCCCTCCCCTCATTTTGGGCTCTCCATAGAAATGCTGGGAAATAAAAACTAAAAGTCACTAAAGCTTCACATTTTCACAACTGATTGGAAACTCAATGGAGCACTTATTTTCTTGTTTCAAGTTCTTAACTCTTTCCGTTCACGAGTTTTACAGAAAATTCGCTTTTCCATTGGACCACATTACGGCTAGCCTTAAAAATCGTATGATCCGGTTAAAAATTTTACCAGAGATACTCAACGTCATTTCGCAAATGTAATTTTTGGAGATCTTTTAAGACCTTTGCTGGTCGAGTTATAGGAAAAATACTGAAAAACGTCTTAAAAATGAAGTTGTTCAATTTTAGAAACCCTATGACTCGGTAAAAAAAGTCTATATGGCATTATGTTTCTTTGATAATGTCTGTTGATATGGTTCAGTATCATTTCTCTTTAAATCTTCTTTTACAATTTCGAAAGCACCTGTTGGTATCATAAAGTTTTCACTATTAACATAACATAAAGTATATGCTGCATACTTCCGTAATTCTTCATTTTTATCACTTACGGCTTTGCTTAAGAAGGGTATAGCTTCATTCGGTATTTTTTGTCCATTCACGAGGGAACCCCACGAAGTGATTAAACGCTTTTTGCTCGGAATCTAGTAGGTTATAGGTTATCGACCATGCTGATTACGAATACGACCATGCGGCTTCCGCATAGCCCTTCGAAGACCTGGTTTTCTAGAAAACGAGTTTTTCAGAAACCCCAAAAAATAACCCGAATCG